ACTCATATTTTTTACTCAATATTCCAAATTTTATCTGATCGGTCACTGTAAATCAGTGGTGCCCAAACCCTTGCACTCCGCAGGCCAGATGGCTTGTATGGGATGGGTCCACAGGCCAGATCCACTCTGTGGGCTTGATCTGGTGTGTGGGCCTCAATGCTGGTCTGGCCCTGGTCCCACATACCATATGGTACCCATGGCCCCATGAGGGATGGGGCCTTCTGTCCCAGCCCCAGCCCCCCACATGCTGGATCAGGCCCCACTACCCCAGTCCTGTACACTCAAGATCTAATCCACTCACCCCAACTCCACTCCACCTGACTCAGGATCTGGCCCAGGGGCCAGGGGTTGCACACCCCTGCTACAGGCCATGGATTCCTTCCAGGCTCCCAAAGGAAAGATATTACAGACTTCTATCAGGGTGCACTGTTACAAGTCACATAAAAAGTCCTGGCTTCTTGTAAATTACATTCACTCCATGAAGCAAGAACATGGTTATCAATATCTTTATGCAACACACAAAAAATTACTAAGTCATATTTCTCCTTCTGCTAGGGGAGCTTTTGAGTAAGGCTTGCCCTTGTTCAAAGGCTCTTTTGAATAAGCCGCCTTTGTACCTGGTTGATTTACCAACCATGAAATGGTCCTTTTACATTTAGGGTGCAGACAGAAGTTCAGCTCCCCACTGTAACCCACAGCACTTTGCAGGAGGTGCCATGAGTTACAGCAATCCCCAGGAACCAACAGATGTTATGTGTTGGGTTCCAGGGGTTGAAGGATCCAGCTGCAATTTGGAGCAGCTACAAGTCTGCAGCTGCTCTCCCCTAGCCCCATTCCTTCCCTCTCCCAGCCCTAGCCCTGTATTCAGAATAGGAGCGGGAGAAAGGAGCGTGGTCTGGCATTTTTTTCAGCTGGCACTGGAGGGTGGAGTGGGTGGATTGGAGCCCTCCCACCCTGGGGGGGGCCCTCCAATCCACCCACCCCACCCTCCAGCACCAGCTGAAAAAATCCCAGACCAAGCTCTGTTTGCTCCCTCCGCCCCCTCCCATTCTGAAGACAGCACTGGGAACACTGCTGGGCTCCATCAGCCCAGCCCTGCTCCTGGCGCACGCTGACACAAGTTAATGAAGATGTTCTGCTTTGGAGCAACCTCGCCTGAATCCTCCTGTAATGAAGGTTCAGATTATCGCAGGATCAAGTCCTTTTAAAATGCTCTGCAGCCATGCTCTTCTGTAAGGACACAGGCGTAGAGTACTTTCAAGGGGCCGATCGCAGGATAAACATAACTTCTGTCTGTGCCTTTAGAACCTAATCCTGCACTCCCAACAGCAAACTAACACCAACTTCAATGGGAAAAGTAGCAGACCTTTGAAGCTTCACTCAGAGGCAAACATTTATTCATACACTTAAGACTCTATATATTGAGCAAAGGAATGAACCCCTCAGTCAGACCCATGTTGATAAGGAGGACCTAAAGAGGGAGAAAGACTGTCTCTACATCTGCCTTACAGGTTGCTGCTGGCATGGTCATGGGCGTGAAAAGGTATGTCCCCAATTAATGTGGCTGTGATGGCAAAAACCTATAGTGAAGATGCTGTGCTATCAGCAAGTATTCGCTAGAATACTTTGTCTCGGTAAATGTGAACTAAGCAGGATCTATAAAACCACAACTTTGTCACAATCTGCATTGAGGATGGGATAACCTTGAATATAACCTGCATTCA